GGCGCGCTGCGCACCGGCGACAACACGCACCTGCTGCGCGCCTTCCTCGTGGACATGACGTACCGGTTCCGCACCGTGGTGGACGGCCGCGACCTGCTCGGCAAGAACGACAACAGCAGCGTGAGGAACGTGGCCGCCACGCGCTACGGCCTGGTCAGGGCCGGCCACGTCACGCACCTACAGGTACGACGCGTCTTTTTACAAGCATGACCACATACTTTTTGAAAACCAAAACAGACAAAACTTGACTTTAACTCACATGATGTAATAGAAAAAGTAAGATTGTTTTACGACCGTGTAAAATAACATATTTGTTTTGTTTTCATTTCCTTAGCTTTTGTTTTGCTTTTATTTGCTACTTTTTCTTTTTTTTGCTGTTTTTTTTTTTTTTTTAATTTTCTCCAATGCCCGTCAGGTGGCCAACGGCGACCGCACCGAGACGGCGTTCGGCCAGGAGGTGGAGGCGCTGCTGGCCGGCGCGGCCGTGACGAGCGCGTGGCACGAGCTGCAGCGTGCGGCCAGCGTGCACGTCAACTGGGAGCGAGAGCGCCCGCGCCCGCTGCAGTGGGAGCCCACACAGGTGAGCACATCACAAATGTCGTTATAAATGAAAAAGCTAGGACCCATTTTTTTGTTAGAAACGCGATGAAACTATGGGAGGAAAAGAAATCAATGGTTGAACATTTCCTTGATTTCTGTGCAGACATGTCTCAAACTTTAGTAGCCTGTGTGTACTTCAGAGCAGAGTAACGCCAACTGACCCGTGCCTTTACCCGTTGCAGGCGCCCCGGTCCTGGGGGCCGGAGCAGGCGTAGGGAACACTACAGGTGCAGCCGCACTCCCTGCAGCGGACGACCCCCCCACCCGTACTACCCTGGAGCGAGGGTGCAGGGCACTTCCCGTCCCGCCCTCGCTCGGAGCCGAACTTGCAAAACATCTTTGAGCTGAAAACAACTTTTGCATTTGGCACTGCGCGCGTTAGCACGGCGCTGGCTGCACAAACTCCTGCTCTCAGAGTCGCTAAGGTCCATGTTCAACCAGCTTCTCCGCCCACACCCCCCGTTTTACCCTGTTCCCTCCCTCTTCCAACCACCTCGCCCCTTCCTCCTCACCCCCCTCAGCCCTTACGGCCCCATCGCAACGCC